AGTTGAAGATTTAATTTATAAACAAATAGATTATTTAAAGGTAAATAAATGTTTAATAAGTGGATTAAAGGCATGTACAGATAGGATTGTTAACAAACAAACTGATTATTGTGTTTTTGTATGTTCTTTAGAAGTAACACATTTTGATTTAATCGCACATTTGCCAATACTTTGTGAAAAGAATAAAATTCCTTGTCTTTTTATTAAGAAACTAGAACAAACATGTGTTTTATTAGAGTTTTATAAAAATGATTATGAAAATATTGTAGGTTTGATATAAATTTTATTTATTTACTGATTTTAAAACAAATTCTTTATTAAAATTTTATTATAAAGAAAGGGTTTTATAATTTTTTATTTAAAATACTAGAGTGATGTTATGAATCATATTTTAAAAGTAAATTTAAACTTTTTTATATAAAAATTTAGTTATGAAAACCAAAAATAAGAAAAAATTAATTTTTTAGTTGAAAGTTAAGTGATTTTTAATTAGTGATAAAGTGAGTAAACTCGTTGAAAGTTTCTCACTAACTTTTTAATAAAAATTTGATGTTATTTAGTAAACGCAATACGAAATTTAAATTTGATTAATACAGAAGAAACATTTTAATCTAACAAATTAATACCACTTTTGTTAAAATAAATTTTATTATAATAATTTTTTTAATTTTTAAACTATTACATGTTTAATTATTATATAAACATATTTTTATTTGATAAAATTAAAAACATAAAAAATATTATATACTGGCTTTTAGTAAACATAACCTGATTTTAATATTGTTAAATTTTAAAAAATTTGAAAGAAGTGTTACAAATCGGTTATAAAACAAATCAATAATTTAAGCTTTTTATTAAAAATATCTTGATATTAAGTATAAAAAATTTTTTAAATAAAAATTTAAAGCTGTATTAATTTTAGATAAATATTTATATAAATTTATCTCTATCAATAAATTTAAATAATAAACACTTTATAATTTTCCTTAAAAACTACAATTTTTATTTAGTAAAAATATTTTAAACGATAAAGTATAAAAATTATTAAACACTTGTTTTTAAAAAGATTTATTTATCTTTTGTAAGCTCTTAATACGGCTTCAAATTCATCATACCCCATTGCTTCCAATCTTTGTCTCTTAAGATCACGTTCATGATTTTTAATTCTAGAATAGATAGTGTTTAAAAATCTGTTTTGATAGTCTTTAGTGTGAATAAAGTATATTGGAAGTTGATTTGTTTCATCTTTAGAATTATTTGTTGTTCTCCAATTAAAGGAAGTGGTAGTCGTATCTTTAT